TTAAAGTGTATAAGGTAAGTCACAGTTGGGGAGGGGGGTGCCCAGAAACTAGAAAAGGAAAGACATTGATCCTTGTTAGCTAAAGTATTAATGCTTTATTAAATGATTGCACATGAATAAAATCCACTTGACACCAAACCCCCACCTTTGTGGCATATGCCACAAAGGTGGGGGTTTGGTGTCAAGTGGATTTTATTAAAAACCTACCATCAAAAACCTTCCAAACCACCCCATTTGTAATGTGGCATGGATCGAAGCCTAGCCTAGGGCACATTAGAGTCTTTATTTGTAAAGTTTACGCATATATTCCTAATGAGAAGCAATCTAAATTGGAGAACACAGCCATAAAGGGTATTCTGATGGGCTATAGTGAACAAAGTAAGGGATATAGAATACTCAACCCAAATACTGACAAAGTGACAATAAGCCGGGTTTATTTAGATAAGAACCCATCACCAGAAACAATGATCCCGGGAAGTTGTGAAGTGAATTTGCCCAGTAAACCAGCAAAGAAAGGTGAGCAAAGTGAAGCCACACAGGAATCAGAACAAGAGTTAGAACTCACAATGGATAAATCAAATTCCATTCTAAATTCTGCTGAACAACCTTGTGTGTAAACTCCACAAGAGCATCTATGGACTCAAGCAATCTGCAAGAATGTGGAATGAGAAAGTGAAAGAGGGATTCACAAGTAGCAAAGCAGATCCCTGTCTTTATTCCAGGAATCAAGAAGACAGATGGATATACATAATGGATGACATTATAACCTGTTTTGAACAAGAAGGGGAGGATAGTCAAATAGTTCACAAACTAAAACAAAAACTCTGAAATCAAAGAGCTAGGAAACATCAGTCACTATCTGGGTGTTTAAATAGAGAGGGGAAAAAGATGGAAGCTATCTTCTCAACCAGAGTTAGAAAATGGCCGACATTTTGGAACAATTCCACATGCAAGATGCAAAGGAAGTAAAAACACCTATGGAACCAGGCTACAACCAGGCTGCAAAAGTGCAATGAAGCAGAAATCTTCCTGCCCAACCAGGGGCGTAACTAGAAATCACGGGGCCCCATAGCAAAATTTTGTATGGGGCCCCGTGATTGCTAGTTATGCCACTTGCAGAGCCCACCAGAGCATACCAAACAGCCCACCTGAGAGTGACCCTGCAGAGCCCACCATAGACTCTCTATAGTGGGCTCTGCAGGGTCTCAGATGGGCTGCACACCTCTTTCCTGTCAGTGCCACCTCCGTGGTCGCCGGGGCCCCACCTCCTCTTCTGTCCCCGGGCCCGCCTCCTTTTACATCGACGGGCCCGCCTCCTCTTACATCACTTGCCCCACCTGCTCTTAGGTCGCTGGCCAGTGATGTAAGAGGAGGCGGGGTTGCTCTTAGGCGGGCCCCGCCTCCTCCTTCACTTGCGAACGCTGGCCTCTTCTGCTGTTGCTGCTGGCTGTCACTGACACAGCTCCGCAGCGGCTGTGAGGAGAAACGCCGCTACTGAGCTGTGTCAGTGACAGCCAGCACCCTTACATGCCATAGCGACCCAGGCAGCCCACACGGCATTGGAGGGATGCTTTAGTCGGGCCCCCCTGTGCCCGGGCCCCATAGCGGCTGCCTGGGTCACCATGGCGATTGTTACACAACTGTGCCCAACAATGACACGTACCACAGAGCAATCGGAAAGCTAGTATACAGACCAGACATAATGGGGACATAGTGGGAGCACTGGGCATACTCGCTAAAAAAGTTGGAGCACCCTGTCAGTGTGAATGGAACAAAGTAAAGAGGGTAATAAAATACCTAAAAAGGAACAATTCGAATGAAGCTACAGCTGCCAGCAGCGTCAAATCCAAAACTAGATGGATATGCGGATGCCGATTGGGCCGAAGACTGCACAGTTCGTAAATCTCCAAGTGGTTACATCTTCCAATAAGGGGAAGGAACCATAAGTTGTGAAAGCAAACAACTGTTGTACTCTCCGCAACTAAACATGATGACTGTAAGTGTTTGAGCAAAAATGTAAAAAATAAATACTTTGTCGGGCCATGTATATTTGTTTCATATGGAATTATTATTAAAAATAAGTTTGAAAGTTTAATATTACTTTAAATGTGATCCTGATTTTGTTTATTAATTTTTTACAAATCAAATCAGTTAATGTGTGTGGGTTTTTTTTTTTTAAACTGAGAGACATCATTAAAGTTTAAAGCCTAATTCTATTCCATTTTTTTCCCAGTTTAAGATAGAATGGAGAAGGGTTTGACAGTTTGGGGTCTATTCACTAAGCCGAGTGAAAGACCGACCTGAAGTGAAATGAGCCAAACGCTGTTCGGCTATTCACTTCAGGCAGGATGTTACAGAAGCAGGCTGTCGGCTGGCCAATGGGGCATATGCCTTTGGCTCGACTGAGCTGCTCGGCTAAGTTCGGGAGCTGAAGGGGTCCTGGAGCCGAAGGATTGGCCGAAGCTACGGCTAGATCCTTCGGCTGCTTCGTGAATAGAAGAGGCGGGGGGGAGCGAAGACCGAGGAGGCGGGGGGGCAGAGACGGCGACGGAGGATGGCGGGAGGCGTCACTGGAGCTCCAGTCGGGCGGCGATGATGGTGACGGGCGCCGAGGACGAGGAGCCTGTGTTACAAAGCAATCGGTCAGCGGAGAAGGCTGGGTTTCCCGTGCCAGGTAAAAGGACTGTGCTGGCAGAGCCCAGCATAGATTCTGCACAGCCCACCAAAGAGTCTCAGGTGGGCTGTGCAATACCCTTTGGTGGGCTCCGCAGGATCCGTAGGGGGCTCAGCTGGAACAGCTGAGAAATCGTTGGAATTCTTCACATTTTGCCGGTCACATATTCCACTACAGAAAAAGTGGGCGTGACTACGTTAAAATTTGTGACGGGTCACACATTCCAACCCAGTCACAATCTTTGATAGAACACCTGCACAGCTCCCCTGAGATCCTGCAGACTGCGGGGTCTCTGCAGGATCTTTGGGGAGCTTTGCCGGGTCTCAGGGGGGCTTTGCAGGATGTGTGGTGGAGGTCTCTGCAGGATCTGTGGGGGGCTTTGCCAAGTCTCAGGGGGGCTTTGCAGGATCTGTGCTGGTCTCTGCAGGGTCTATGGTGGCAAGAGCCAATTACAGATCCTGCACAGCTCCCCTGAGACCCTGCAGAATGCAGGGCCTCAGGGGGGCTGTGCAGGATCTGTGGGGGGCTCTGCAGGGTCTCAGGGGGTGCTGTGCAAGATCTGTGGTGGGCTCTGTCAGGTCTCAGGGGGGCTTTGCAGGATCTGTGGTGGGCTCTGTGGGGTCTATGGTGGGCTCTGCAGGGTCTTAGGTGGGCTTGGCAGCCTGACCTTGCATAGCCCACCACAGATCCTTCACAGCCCATCTGAGACCCCGCAGAGCCCACCACAGATCCTGCAGCGCCCACCTGAGACTACAGCTTTCCTGCTACGCTACTTGCGGAACATGTCAAAAGCTGGATACAGCGTGTGCACTGTATCCAGCGACTGGCAGGTTACGCAAAAAGTATTAAACAGGAAGGGGTGGGGTAAATTTAGAGTGTGGGGGGCACCCGAGTTTTGTCTTGCCTAGGGCAGCCCCAAACCAGAATACACGACTGGCTACAACTAAAATGTATATGTATGTTGCAGGTGGCATGTAAAGCTTTGAAGCTACAACAGTTTTGTTAATGTGTGTTTATAGATGAAAGACAATCAAAGAAACCCAAAATAACATATGATGTGTGTTTCTGCTGTGGTGTTAAACTGTTGTATGCGCCACATCACTAAACTTACTGACTTCAACTCAAAATTGAAGTTGCGGGTGAGCTTACTTTTTAATGTAAGTTGCCTCTCTTACTTATATAGACCTCATAGAGAAGATCACTGTATTGCCAAATGCAAAGTGTGCCCAAAATTGAGTAGATGAATTCTAGCGACAAGGATGCTGCTGTAATATTGTAAAGATTTATCATTCAATATATATATATTTTTTACATTGATTACCTCTATACCCTGTCTCCATTTATGTATTCTTTAGTTTCCTACTTAAGACACATGTGATTTTGTATAAGTACATAATGATAATGGTTACCACCACCCACATCCTGCATTTAAAGGAAATACACTCACCACTTCTAATAAGTAAAATGCCATTTCCTGTATGACCAGAACATCAGTTAACTCCATTGGATGGAAGTGAAACAAGCATTTTTCATGCATGCATTTGGTGATTAGGTTAAATAATTTAAAAAAATAAATAAACTGCACAATATTGCTTTAACAAACTATGGGCAAACATAATTAAATAAGCAATTCCAGTACATGCCAGTAATACTCTTTAAGCCATCAGTGCATTCAAGCACATATTGCGTAGTTGTGCTTTAATTTTAGTGTAATATTCACTGTATATGAAACAAAGGCATCAATCAGAATAGAAAAGCTTCAGAGAAATATTATTATAGACAAGATAACCTTATGTTATTTTATTCTCATCTTAAGGAGGTCACACGTTTCATTTCTGAACTACAAGTATTTATTGAATAGCGTCACTTGTGCATTAAGTATGATGATGATGCTTTTTTAGCAATGTAAGATAGCAGTATGTTTTTTATTCATGATATGCTCTTTACTTTATTGACATTCAGTGCCTTTTATTTTTCTTCCACTGACAGATCATAAAAATATTTCGATTTAAGCATCAGCAATGTAAATGATAATTTTTGCTTTCATTACTTTCTACAGAGTAAAGTGACCAATGGGGGGGAGGCAAGTAGAATTGAGCTCCTTGAACTTGTACAAACTGTCCACCCTTGCCATAATCACAGGTAATTACTAGGGCTGTTATCTGTCTTTTGCCTTCGCATTGCTTCAAAGTACATTTAATTCAATTGCTGTAATTTTTTGCCCTCCCTCAGTGCAGTGACTTGTGGAGTGGAAATGATCCAGTGACGTCTGAGTCCCTTACATGCACCCTTGGGAGGGAGACTAGTCCATATCAAGCTGATGCTGACCATAAATACAGGAGCCCCCTGGCTGTTTCACATATCACCCTGGGGAGACTTGCATTTCATACAATGCAGTGAGAATCTTGCTGTGTGTTTTTCTGGGATCACTGCACAACCTTACTCCTCCTGCATGCCAGCTGGGATCACCTGTAGCCCTTTTCTGCAAGAATTCAGAGACAGAAACTGCAAACACAGCTTCCCAAATCAGCTCAAGGTTTGTCCTTTGCTTGATTTTCACTTGTTTCCATATCTTTTTCTCTGCTGCTAGTTTTCTATTTCATTTATTTTCTTATTACTTCTTTTCTTCTATAATTTTTATTCACTTTGAGCAGATTGTATGTGTAAATGGGGGTTCCGAAACAATTCAGTTAAAGAATACCTTAGAATCACAAACCAGTGATGTGGCTGTTGTTTTATAAAATGTTTTATGCTATTTCCTATGATTATTATTTGCTCTAGTTCGCATAAGTTGGAGCAAACAACTACATTGTGAAGCAATATTATA